TGGCGGGAAAAACAAGTCATGTGACTTATGTTTTAAAAGGAAAATCTTATCATGTAACGGACATTCGAAGTCAAGTCAATCAACAGTCGCGAGCAAAACATCAAGATAGCGATCAAAGGGATCCGACACCCAGGAACACAAATTGGAAGTTTCGAAATCGTTTGTCGCTTCGATTTAGAATGTTGTAAATAATAATTTATCTTGTAATTATTTCAATTTCAGTTGACTACGATGTAACCACGGACGCAACGAGCCGTGTCTCTAGTTCAAATAAATCTGACAACGTTTGATCCCTGGTGGGCTAATCTTCAAAGTAAGTAGCGCCTTTAACCGCAGGAGCGAACCAGGCGTAAAATGTTATTTCCACCCACACCACAACAAAACCCATCAAGATATCTACCAGTTCTAAGGTGATTTGAAAGGAATGATAGTCTTATTCTTCAGTTTCCGCGAACGGTCTAAAATGTACAGTAAAATTAATGATAGAGGTGCAAAGTAAATCGAATGCAACAATATTGGATGGATAAAATTGAGATTTTCTTTTTGCTTAAAAAAAAAAACACTTTTTTACGAGAGGTTAGCCTGCGTGCCAGGCAGTCTGCATCGCCCTTATGGACTATATCGAGGTTTCCGTGACAGATCCGGCTTCACCACAGGCTTAATGGACTGATTGATAATGATATCAGTCTAGCAGTGTCAGTCTAGTTTGTTTCGCTTCTTTTGAAGTAGAAAGCTTTTAAAAATGTCAGATAAAGCACTCTTCATTAACAAATAGCAAACTAGTGGAAATTATAGCTCTCCATTGAAAAACTGATCACGCGTTGATAAACTGATCACGCAGTATGGTATGCAGCTGCACTGTACAAGGTAGAATGTTATATTCAAATTTCATTTTAGGGTGCCCTAATATGGTATTTCACTGATTTCATTTACTGATAAAAGATACGAGCCTGTCAGATCTAAAATAAGTGGTTTCCCTTAATGGAATTAGGTGACAAAAAAAATGTAGAAATAAAGATTAATTACCATAAAAAACTGAATTGAGATCACAGAACATTTGACGAAATAGTTTGCTCAGAAATTCTTCGTTTCGGTTTACTGCTACAAAAACTATTCCATTTGTTTCACCCATGTTGCAGATGAAGTCTTATCATGAAAACCTGAAATACCTGCTCAAGTCTTCAGAGGGTGAAATCTAAAGTACCTATCTTTTCTCGCGCAAACAGCTTAGCTCTGTCCGTCAAATTCTACCCTGGCCGAAACAATAGAAAGGCGCTTTCAGAGTTCTTCAAATCCTGCTCAAGCATGCGGTTAGTCTCTGCTGGTTGCTTCGCTTCACTTCGAGGTTTCCCTGCAAATGATTCCGCTTATCATCGCCATCTTCACGTCCCTCTTGAACAAAGCGTAAACCAAAGGATTCACTGCAGAATTCACAACCAAGAGAGACGTTACGATCTGGCTAGTTTTATCGGACACTTGATGCCCAGAAAAAGCTGCGCATAAAACTAGGTAATTTACCACCACGTAACATCCCAGGAAGAACAAGACTAGAGCAGTTACGAAGGGAGCTGTGTTGTGCTTTTTACGTCTGCGTGAAGTTGCAGGTTCTTTCACGGTAGATTCGCTGCGTGAGTGGCTAGACCGCTGAACTTGTAGTTCTATTGCAGTTTCTTGGTGAGAATGTGCACGTGCAACAACTAGGATACGAACAACAGCATAGAAGAGCAACACACAAGATACTATGTCAAAAGCAGACACGCCGGTTAATCGCAAAACTTTCAGAGCAGTTTTGGAGGTGGTGGCGTACATTCCCACCAAAAGCAACAAAGAGATTGCAAAGGGAATCAACCATGCTATCAAGATAACCATTCTAGGGCGTCTTTTTGTCATTGAGTTAATGTATTTGAAAGGATGAACGATGGCGATGTAACGATCCCAAGTCAAGGAGCAAAGATTTGTGACTGAAGAGTGGAGGAAGAACCAGAAGAATGCCATGTACACTATGTCGTTGCACGCTGTTGAATTATGACAAAAATGACTCGATGGAAAAACGGCGATTCCGACACTAAAGTCAGCCACGGCCAAGGAAAGAACGAACCAGTTGGCCGGGGAATGAAGACGGCGATTTTTGGCGACAAGAAAGATTACAAAGCCATTTCCTGTTGCTGTTACGATTGAAAGTATCCAGCCGAAAATATCAAACAAATTATCCATTGCCACCATGCTTCTCAAATCAGACAGTTTCAGCCAGTTTCAACAGCAATCATCGGAGGTGAACGTTAATTGGCTTATATTTGAACAACCGTTAATGTTGCATAAAATAATTCTCGTTCGCTGGTTATCTCTGTCATCAAAACGAAAAGGAATATCCATGAAAGATAAGCGTAACGAACAATCGAAAACCTTTTAAAATACAAAAAAAATGTTTCTAACATGAATTACGCCGGGGTTGACATTTCCACTGGAGATATGATAAATTGGAAAACTAATTGCACTGCAATGTCGTGGGAAACTGGGATAAAACTACGTCATGGCAGTTAAATTTTCTTTTAAGACTTAAAACAAAATTCCTCGTCCTTTGCCCGCTATGTCTGATTTCTGGCATTGGTTCAAACAGAGCAAAGTAAGCGTTGAGTGAATTAAATTTGTTCTCGGCCCTGGCGAGGACGACATTTAGCACTTAATGACTTGCCTCAAAGGAGACAGTGAGTTTTGTTTCCCCGAGACCCTCAATGTTCCCCGAGGCAAAGCAAAAGGGAGCACTGAGGGTCGACGGAAAACAAAACTCACCGTTTCCCGTGGGGTCCGCCATTTAGTGTTTTGTTATACCTCCCAACTCAAAAATAGAGAAAACTGCGAAAATATTATTTGCTTGGCGCCGGCTGGCACACAAATTTGCTGCGACCTGATCACGTGCGAGTCGAAAGTTCAAGTTGTTGTTTCCCTACGAAGTTAGAATAGTGAGTTTCGTCCATGACATGTGACACATTCTCCTCCAATCGGATAACGTATTTGAATTGGGAGGTAGAACAATCAGACTTGACTTTCAATTATCCATGGCAATTTTACCTCGTTTCTCAGATCCCACTGAACACGATGGCTTCAGGGAGGATTTATCCTGACATCTCTTTAATCACCAAATTATGGACCTTTTTGACGATGTCACGCTTTTCCGACTTTTCTTCAAACAAAAAACCATCTCCACAGATTAATTTATGTTATCATGTCGAAATTGGTAAATATGCGAAGTTTCATGAAATTATGCTATTTTTTAGACAAAGCATATAGGTCTCTTTCTGTCACTTCGTGTCAACTCCTTCCTTGTTTTTCACCTCCTTTCACTTCCTTGTCTTTAACTTACTTCCTTGTCTTTTATTTCCTTTCACTTCCTTCCACTTTCTGTTTCTTTAACTTCAGAAATAATTATTGTCCATCAATCTTAGCAACAACTGGATTGGGATATCTACATTACCTGTACTTCTCTAAATTTGAAAAAAAATAATATAAAATTCTATTGAAACTCCTCTTTGACCACTCTATTTACTTGAGAAAACAACGCTGGATGTCTTCACACCAAAGGGCATGACGTATCCCTTCCACTAAGCCGAAAGGAACAATTTTGGCCTTTTGGCCAAGTAATCGTGAGTGACAGCAAGTATTAGTGCGAAATGAACAACTGATAAGAACCTTCTATTAGGCTCAAACCAGCCAGCTTCCCCTTCTCAAATTAGTAGGGAACTTAAGCACGCACGTTTTTGAGACGCGGACGGTAACCGGAAGTGAGCTTTTTTCACTTTAAACTTGTCCTCACACAATCATATTCACATTGCTAAGTATCTTTTCTTCGTTAGAGATGAGTAGTATAAAAATCTGGGGGACAATACGGTCCAAGCATGCGAAATCTTTTCTTCCGGTTGCCGTCCGCGTCTCAAAAACGCGCGTGCTTAAGCTCCCTAGTATGTATATCAGTCCTCCCTATTCTCTCAAGATCTAAGTTTGGAAGATAGATAGCGTGGTTCCAGAAAATGTATATAAATTACCCACCCAAGGAAGCATATTGAATAAACATAAGGGTGTTGGGGCCTCAAAAATATAAAAGAAAATTATATGTACCTAAACTTGACTTTCCAGAGAGACCTTAGGGCGGGGGGGGGGGGG